TGTGTGTGTGTGTGTTGTGTAACCAGAAACTGAAAAAGCAGGACAACAGGAATCTTATTTTACACATGAATGGAGCTGCTAGACTAGAAAAACTGAAATCTAAATATAACAGAACAAAACCTAGATTACGTGTGTGTGTGTGTGTTTATAATACAGATGTGAAGCAATGCTAGATGAGGACAGAGACTCTCACAGATGAGATGGTAGAGTTTAGTAATCTGACACTGAAACACTAAAGATTGTTGATTCGGCAGCAGAGACAGAAGTGACGTTGAAGCTCAGGACTTAGTACTTAGTGGTTTGATGGAGCGTCACACAAAGACAAGTGATCCTCTGTTACCCTGAAATGCCCTGTGTGTGTGTGTGTGTGTGTGTGTGTAATAACCAGCTGCAGCTCTGCTTACTGAAATATCACCTTTATGTGTTTTTGGTACATTTGTTTGGCAATAGTTCTGATATCTTTGTCATATTGGTTTCAACTCCAAATGTCTATCCTTTTTTTTTTTTTAATTTTAAATTTTTCCTCAGGGTCACTTAACCCAAATCATGAAAACAACATACATGTGACTTTATTAGCTACTGCTGTCTGAAACTAAATCAGTCTTGAGGACATTGCACTTTTAATTTTAAAGCTGTGTTAACAATGTTTCTACACAGCTGACACTATGTCCATTTTTACATTTTACTGGTCAAATAATGAGACATCCAAGCAGTGTGGAGATGCACGACTGACTTTTGTTGTTGTTTTTCTTTTTTATTTCAGGGCCTAATAGGTCAAAACAATATTAAATCCTACTATTTTGTGACTTAAGTCTGACTCGAGTCTCTGTCTGAAGAATCTGTTTATTCAGTTCACTCAGTTGCCAGTTTATACCTAACTCAAACTGAACAGTCTTATACAGTCCCAAAATAAATCATACATTTGTCAAGATTATAATGTTATAATGTTTTTGTCGAGACTGTTTTAGAGGGGTGTGAATTCAACTGTATGATCATTTGGAGGCTGTAGTTTGTGGTGCTGTTGAACTGTACTGGGTTATACTGAGAGGTGTATCTAAGAATGAACCCCTTCTCCACCCCATATAAAGTGAGAGATATTAGAACCTCACAATTCAATGGGACTATTTCTTCAGTGTCGGTAGCGTGTTGTGCTGATTATCTAGAGGCTAGATAATCACTATATTCTATATAGTGATTGAATAAATCGGTGTTTCTGTTAAATTTGATGGGGATGGAGGGAAAAATCTCACAGACTGATACCCCCCCAATCCCCTCCCCCCCAACACTAACTGCTAGATACCACTGAGAGTTAAGTGGGTGATTGGGATCATTGAAGTTGAAAGAACAACCCCAACCAACACCTGCGGAGTGCCATGGTGGTTTTATGCTTTGGAGAAGAGACTCTTCTCATTTCTCCTTTTTATATGACTTTCATTTTACATCATGTCTTCTCGACCGTTCCCGTCATCGCTGGCGAATATTTCCTTTGCAGCAAACCCCTTGATTAAAGAGCTGATAATCCTGTTCAGCTGGTAACAACACTTTTCACTGTCTCGCTGTTTAACCCGACACTACTTGCCTCTTTTTTCGCACTGTGGAGTTTCTGTGCGAGTTGTAAATGCGTCTGCAGGTTTGGGATGCAGGAGATAAGGCTGGAGTCTGGATCCGGAATCCTAATGAACATGTGGCAGTGGAGAAGGAGGGGAGGCAGCGCTGACAAGGCTCTCATTGTTTCAGTGTAGAGAGAGAGAGTGATAGAAAGAGACACAGAGAGAGAGAGAAAGAGAACCAGCGAGCCACAAGGACAAAGAAAAACGATACGAGCATGACACAACAATGGTAGAAGAAGAGCTGCTCTTTCATAACAAACCCGATTTTCACAACTTCACTACTGTTCCCTCCCTGCCTGTCATCCTGCCAGCGTTTGTCTCTGCAGTCAGTCCATGCTGACTCATCCAAGATCACAATGATACAGACGACTCCCCCACCATCCTCATCCTCACATGAGGGACGCAGTCATGCTGCTGATTAATGGCAGTTTTGAGTCAGTATCTGGCTGGAAGCACCCACAGTTTGAACTGATGACAGGAGAAGTGCCAATGTTTTAAAGTGAAACCCCACCCACAATCTATCTTTAGAGTGTAAACACCACCTGTAGGTTGAGCGGCGTGTGACCAGCTTCATCTTTAAACGAACAAATCCCCCCAAAAAACAGCAGCTGTGTTCAGCTTGAATGTCAAGTTTAGTTTTAAGTTTATTCCAACTAAAAAACACTTAAACAGACAATATTCTTCAGGAGTAAAGTAGATAAATGGACAGAATATTAGACAAAACATGAAAAGCATTAAGACAAAAAAACGTGTTCCAAGTGGATTCCAATCCTGGCAATTTTCATGTTGAAATAAAAATTTTAAAACTTCTCCTGCAGTGATGACCTTCTCTGCTTCGGCACTTTAAATTAAGTTGGAAGTCTTCATGAGAAAACTGCAAGTCTTTCCACCAAGCTAATAGCAAAGCACTGTATTTACTACATTTTGGGGAAACAATGATTGTTTTGAACATACTGAGCATGTACAATATCCTGCAGCAGTGATTTGAGAAGTGTCTATTTCTGCTGTGAAAACGTTTGAAATACATCCTGTTATCCATTCAAGTGTTTTTAAAAACATTAAAATGATGAATGATTTAAATAAGTGAACAAACGTTTTACAGCTAGCTTTCGAGCCTACAGGGGATGAGATGTTTTTTAAAGACTTTAGGTGGGAATCCCTTTAACATCCAGCACAGGTTTCCACAAAGGCACTCACTCTCAGTTAGCACAATAGAAAGTTGCATCAGATCCTGTGTAGCTATAGAAACGACAACTTGGGCTGAATGTCTCTCTCTCTCTCTCTTTGTTGTCATCTTCTATTCTGCCTTGTGATTCTTTTCTTTTGGAGAATTAACTTTAGGGTTTTTGGAAATTGCTTGGTTTTCTTGAGTGTATTTGTACTAAAAAAGTGTGTATATTCATCAACATGCAACATGCATCCGTCTCATTTTCTGATGAGAACCCTGTGACGGAGACTTGTATGTCAATCTAAATTGTAATGACTGGTAGTCACAAAGTGAGATCTGTTTAATTTTTATAACTTTTCATCCTGTCTTAACATTTGTGTTTTTTCTTATTTAAATTTGACTTCATTTTTAGAAATAAAAGCCTCTTTATGTGGTGTTCATTGTAGCGTGGGAACCCCCAACGTTATAAGAAAGAACTTAATTTTCTTAATATACTGCTCACATACTTATTTGTTGCTGTTGTTTCAACTGTTGTTGTTATTATTTTTATTATTATTAATGAGCAAGTATGGATGAGAACTTCGTAGGTTATGAAACCAAGTTCTGCATCACTGGCTGCTCAAACCACAATAACAACCGAACTATATTTCCCACATTGCTTACGCTAATAATTTTAATAGTCAAATGCAGTTTCAGAGTTCACTTTGTGTTTGGATCGTTGTTTTAATCAGAGCAAGCGCTTGAGTTGTTTTTGGGGTTTGCTGGTGGTTTGTTTGACGGGACGACTGCCAGCAGGACGAGACGTGCTTCTAATCCACACGATTGCACAGTCGTTCTGCCAGGAGTCTCCATGGAGACGTTCCTGTTCACCGGCTCAAGGAGAACATTTCCCCTCCCCAGCACCGATTGTACCTTTTCAAGAGCTTTCCTCATTTAGCTCTGGTATTTGACTCCTAGAGATTTTTCTTTACTTACTTTCCTTCCTCATTTGTTTTTGTTTTTACAGTTTTGGACAGGATTTGACACATCTCTCTGGGAAAACATACTGTCAACATGTATGAATGAAAATGTGTATATGAGGCCTTCACTTTCAGAATTTCAAGTTCCATTTTGTTCTCAGCATATTGTGCGTTAGACATTTGGACATTTTGGTCACCACTTTTTCTCATGTGTTTTTTCTCTCTCATAATAGTTTTGAATACCTGGTCTGTTTAATAAAGTAATATCCTAATTTAGTATCAACACCTTTTTATACAGGGTTTATAATCAGTAAGCTATTAAAAACAGCTATTGGGTTGTGAGGTTGTGAAAAATCACCTTGGCTGAGTGCGTTATTCCTTCCTTTAATAGTTAAGTGATATTGCACATGTAATTATTATTATTGATCAATTATTATCATATTATCATTATTATCATTATTCATTATCATTATTATTATTATTATTATTATTATTATCAAATATATGAATACTATAACATGTAACCATGACTCACCAGAGCTGTTGTTCTGCTTTGCTGCAGGTGACGGATAACTTTGACCGTCAGGATTTCAACAAAATGTGCTGGACGTTGTGCTTCAGGAAAAACTTGAATCAAAGCCAATTATTTATCACCAACGATGACGCCTTCAAGATCTGGTGCATCTTCAACTTCCTGTCTGAGGACAGATACCCGCTGATCATGGTCACTGAGGAGGTGAGTGTTGAAGAAAGGGTATATTCCTATTTTTGTGCCAAATTGATACGACTACTTTGTGTCCAATACCCCAGCAGTGATCATACACACATCCACCTCAAGTAAAACAGAACTGGAAACACTGCTGGTTGTTCCCTCGACATATTAAAGACCACCTAGCAGTTTACAAACCGGATTCAGGCCCTGTAATATCAGCTTCAAATTATAAAAATTATATCTCAGGTGCAGATTCCTAACTTCAAGCTTATCCTATATATCACCGCTGACACAATACTGGACATTGGCCTTACATTATTCCAATACAATACTTCTATACCTTTTGTGGAATATAATAACCCTTTTTATTTACGCCAAACAGTTCAATTAATCAGTGTTTAAATAAAAACTTTTGCCAAATAAAATACAGTCTGTAGTGAAGAAAGTTTCCTGACTGAGATGAGGCAATGTCTGATCAAATGGAGGGCGGATAAGTCTGAGAACCTGATCAAGCATTTGATTTCAGCTATCAGTAATTGGAACTCCAGTCCAACCTCAGACTAGAAACCTTGTTTTTAATGCTGCTGTCAGTAAAAATTAAAATACTTATTCTTCCACACTTCAGAATTGTATATTTAAAAAATTCTGATCTTGAATCAGGTTTTCCTGATTTGGACTTCTGATCTTTACACATAGGACTTCCTCCGAAATGGCTGGGTACTCACTGAGGGGGAAGTTATTTATATAAATCTAATAGAATCAAATTAGCCAGTATTTGTCAGCAGTGCTAGCTTCCCACTGCAATCACAGCTAATTGACATAGGCTTTTGGTCATTTCAAGGTCATACTGAGGTCAGACATGAACTCAGAAGGGGATTTTAATTGTACTACTGTATATGTGGTGCTTCACTGCTGCAGTAACTTGCCAGTTGAAAATGTCTGTTGCTCAAGAGCAGAAAAGGAAGTCTCCAGCTTCCTGTTCTTTAACAAATGCTGGAAGATTTATTGTTGGGTATAACAAACATAAGAGCTGAATTACAGGAAGATTGTTTGCAAAAGAAATGTAAATGTATACGCTCCAATCAGCCCACGTAGAGAAGGAGGAAAAATACAGAACAGTTCTCTTCAATATAAATGTTATAAATAAAAACAGTTGTATGTTTTAATAAATAAAAAAAATCCCATTGTCCTGCCTGTGTAAGTATGTATGTCTTTGCACTACCATATGCTCTCTGTACGTTGTCTCCACACACAGATCGAGTACTTCCTGCGTAAACTGACGGAGGCGATGGGGGGCAGCTGGGTTGAGGAGCGTTTTGAGGACTACAAACTGCAGCTGAACTCGAAGCAGCAGAGTCTGAACGTCTGGGAGCTCATTGGCGTGGTGGGGTCGGGCCACTTCAGCAAGGGCATGGACCGCCAAACGCTCTCCATGGGCATCAACGAGGTCTACCAGGAGCTCATCCTGGACGTGCTCAAACAGGTGGGCAGATTATGACGATACAGTCTTAATGAAACTGATGGTTCGTTAAGCTCTGCCCCTTTATTACTGCCCCTAGTCTTTGCGATATATATAAAATAAGGAATGAGAGTTTGTGGTCATGTGGGGCAGGGCTGTATATCTTCTTATGAAAGCATGAGTCAGTGTATTACTGGGGTCAAATAGAGACAAAAATGTCTTTTATTCAAAAAAACATTCATGTCTCTGCAGGGCTACATGATGAAGAAGGGTCACAAGAGGAAGAACTGGACGGAGCGCTGGTTCATGCTGAAGCCGAACTCCATCTCCTACTACGTCGGCGAGGACCTGGCCGAACAGAAAGGAGATATCTTACTGGACGGAAACTGCAGCGTGGAGGCAAGAACCTGCTCGTCCACTTGTCTCTCAGTCCCCCTGGACTTTATATTGATCAATGTGATATCTGAAAACAGGTGTTACAGAATATCAGGAATATTACCTGCATCTAATACACAGATCTGAGCTTCACAGTTGGTGCTGCATCATGGGTCAATCATATGTGTTTACTACAGTACAGTGATGTTAGCTATAGTTAGATATAATGATTAGTTGGGTATAAGTGAATTATGGGGTTGATTCCCATGTTATCTTATATCAGACATGGTGAGTTCAGTAGATAAAAGAGGAAAGTCCCAAGGATAAAAAACAAATACAGATAGAAGTTATATTTAACCTTGGATCAGTACTTCATTTTATAGTTGATGAAGCAATGAGTCAACACAAGTTAAAAAATGGATCCAGTTTTGTCACACAAGATATTGATTGTGCATCTGCATACTGTTGGGTGCTCTTTATGCTCACATTGATGTATTTATCAGCTGGTATAATCTTCATCTGTGGTTTTGTCTGCAGGCTTTACAAGATAAAGAAGGAAAGAAGTGTCTCTTCCTCATCAAGTCGTCACAAAAAACCTTTGAAATCAGTGCGTCAGACAAGAAGAAGAAGCAGGAGTGGATCCAGGGTGAGTAGTACCATGATGACACCAATTTAAAAAAAAAAAAATTATTATTAAATTATTAATCTTATTTGTGTAAAAACTTCAGCAATACTGTGAAATTCATTTTAATAACAATTTTGTCCAACAAGTAAATGAGGTCAATTAAAGATAAAAGCTCAGGGGCTACAACTTAGTTATTTTCATTACTGCTTAATCTGCATATTATTTCCTCAATTAGTTGTGTCTATAGAATGTCAGAAAATAGTGAAATATGCACTTTCGCAGAGCCCAAACAAATTAAAAAAAAAATAATCTTTTGTCCAAAACCCAAAGACAACCATACAAGAATAAATTAATTACAAATTTAATTTACAAATATATATATATATGTGTGTGTGTGTGTGTGTGTGTGTATTTGGCACTTTGCTTAGAAAAATCAAATGATTGATTTAATAATCAAAATATGAAGGCTATTGATGAACAGATTTTTGTGTTTTTTCCTACAATTTTGTCACACAATGGTTTTGAGACACTAATGCTTCACAGCTCTTCATTGATAATCTGGACCTTGTGTTAGTTTTACGCTCGTTTACAGACAGCTTTGAATGAAATTGCAACTGATTTTTTTTCATCTTCCCATGTGTCCACGCAGCTATTCAGACCTGTGTGACCCTGCTGCGTCAGGGCCGGCCGGCGCCGCACCGCGAGGCTCGACAGAAGCGGCGGGAGCTGCGGCTGAAGCAGCAGGCTGAACAGGAGGAGCTGGAGCTGAGGATGAGGGAGCTGCAGACGGCCAATGAGGTTAAACAACTTGAACTGGAGAACATGAGGAAGGTGAGGAGAAAACAGAGACAGACAAGACAGACAAACACGCACACATAAAATGTTCCCCTGTGAATCCAGTCTGGTCAGGAAACGTCTAGCACATTAGTTCCTTTTTGTAGTATGCTGAATTTAAAATAGCTCAGCGTGGGAGTGAGAAAGGCAGGAGTGATCCATGATGTGACGGTAAAGATTGGACTGTCAAGATGATGGAGTGCAAACAAGCCCAGTGTGCATATCTAACAGATTATTCTCAGTATAGTAAAAAGAAAATGTGCATCAGTTGTTTTGCATTCTTAAAATCTTCTTAAAGTATTCAAATATCTGCCAAAACAAACCCCAAACAAACACCCCGTTCCAAGACAAACAACACAAAACAGAGAGCTGGATTGGCAAAGAAGATACATCTGGATTCAAGGACAATGGGAAGAGCAGGTGGGATGGTGTGGTGACTAGGGTCGTGCAGAGAGTGACAAAAATTAAAGAACACTGGACATTATAAACACAAATGTTATCTGTAGATACCGCTGTAGGCGGAACCACTGCACAGCTGACATACGGGTATGCTTTTTTTTCCTGTTTAAATAAGTGACTAACAAAAGAATAAAAGGAAAGTGCTATTGAGGAAGTAATTTACTGGAATTTGTCAGGGATGGAACCTGAGGGATTTCCAGAGAGGACAATAGAGATAAGGAGGTTTAAAAAAAAAAAAAAAAAACACAGAGCAAACAACTCGGAGAGTTAAATAAATAAAATAAAAACAGGGAGGAGTGAAGGCATTCCCCTCCCAGGATCAAGAATAAAGTGACCTGGAGGAAGAAGACAAGTTGTTCCCAAGTAGTTTTTGAAGCAGCACAGACAGAGCATTATCTTTTCAGTTTGAAAAGGACTTTGTTCTTCAAGCTGTGTGGGAATTTAAGACTCACGTGTTGTCATTTTCAAAGCTGACTCAGCTGGTTTTGCAGATTTAAAGTGTCTGTTCTGTTCTTCATCTGGATAGTTCCTCAGCTGGAAAGTAAACTCATGGGGTCTCTATTCATCCACTGTACCCAGGCTTCTTTTGTACTTGAATTATACTGCATCATCAATCACATCTTGCCTCAAGCAGACAGATGAGGGGTTTTGGTCTGCTCCAAGTCCACTCAAGAAGATCAATCTTCACACAGACAGAATTTTTAAAAGCTGGTTTTATTATCACGGACTGAATCCTTAAAGGCCGTGTTCAGACCGACTTTTAGGCTTGTGTGAAGAAAAAAAACGCAGCCCCCTTTATTCATTTGTATGAGGCTCAATTCACTGCAACATAGTATCTGCAAGGGCACATTTCTGGTAGATTACTTTGTAAAATGGACACTGTAGTTTACCTTGCTATAAGATAAAATCTTTGCCGTCATAATAACTTGTCATGCATCCTTTGCTTCAGCTGAGATTGTTAGTTCTGGGCACCAGAAGGATAGTGTACATGTACGTGTAGTGTACATTTCTGAGAATGAAAAGCTATAAATAGATCAGTTTAATCATCACTGCAGTTACGGTCACTTTGACGTCATCACAACTGCAGATCAACAAGGTCTCAAAGCTGATTCAACAACATTCCTCAGAGATAACGTCACACCTTAAAATAACAAAGACTGAGAGTAACATGCATTACCTGTGGAGCTCTGTAATGTTTCTGTGTAATGGTACAAGATTTTGGCAGGAGAATAAAAAAAAATCTTATTATTATTATCATCAACAGTTAAAATGACCCTTTAACGGGATGAAAATACTAGGGTTTCTTAGGTTTAACAAACACTTTTATTATAATATCACATTATGTCTATTTCTTTTTAAAACACAGTACACTGCAGCAACCCTGTTTCTGTCACACTGCTGGTTATAGACACACATGCACATAATTGTGTTTCACACAACAATTAAAGTAGGTCACCTAAAAACACTGCTGGTATCCTCTGAAACTCACTGCCAACCAGTGTTGAGGAAGCTATTAAAACAAAGCTTTGCAAGTGACCAATTTAGACTGAAATAAGTTGAACTACAGCAAAGCTACCCTAGGGGCAAATATAGTCAGGTTCACTGAAGCTACTTAGAAAGTAGCAGTAGTTCAAACTACTTTGTAAAGAAAATATCAAATTACATGAACATGTAATAGAAAATATAATACAAAAAGTCACATTCCAGCAAAAAAAAGAAAAAGCCATGGAGTTGATTTATTAAAAATAGTGCCAACTTTTAATACATAAACAAAAAAAATTAATACCCCAGTATTCATGGGAAAGTGCAGGAATATCAGCTTTGGTACAATGCCCATCAGTCAGACACTTGCCCTCCAGAAACTAGTGTCCAGGAGGGGGTATTGCACCAAACAGGATTACTCAGTTAGCAGGTAACCTCTAAAATAACATTTCTTAATAGCAATAAACAATACTTATGACTAATGGATACTTAATATATTTAACTTTAGTTTTACTAATTCAGATTAGAAATTAGAAACTGTAGACAAATCTTTTTCACAAGTGAGCTGACAATCCAACTTAGAGAAGCAAAAGAAAAAGAAAAAACAAAAAAAACATTCTTTCCTTTTATGGCCCAGAATTGTTTGTAGTTCCTGTAGTCAACTACACAAAAACGTGACAATTGGTAACTGAAACCACTATAATCATGAATATGAATGCAGTTGAACTATCAGCAGGCTGCTGAAAAAATGCAGTTAAACTACTACTTTAATTACTCCTCCCCAACACTGCTGCCAGCTCATGAATACCAATAATGGATCAGCTCCGCCCTGCAGCCTCTGACTAACAATAGTCTGTCACTCGCTGCAGTCAGAGGAATGTGTATTGAATAAAACAGGGGCAGAGGTGCGACATAAACCTGTTTTCCAGTAAATCTCCCTAAATCTGACTCACACTCCTGTTGTTGTGTCTGTTGATACTGCTGACTGATAAACAGTCGTGTTAAAATTCAGTGATTATGTGGATTCCCCCAAATGCTGCTGACGACTGGCTGCTTCCTGTTAATATGGTAAATGTGAGGTTAACAGGAAGGGTTGGCTTCAGTCAGTAGAGAGCTGATGTCATACATTAGATTGAAACATACTGTTTATCGCTATAAATAATCTGTTACAGGTTATGACATTAGGTGCTGAAATGCATTATATTGAAATGTGCTTCTATTATACGCCAACCTTTTCAGAAACACCTCTGAATATAATGCAGTTCCGGTCAACACCACTGCAAACTACAACTGTAACTGTAATCAAAGTCAGTTTTATTTGTGTAGTGCAATATCACAAATAAAATGGATTTAGATGCCCTTCAAGACTCATTTCCATATCAATAATTCTGCCTGCTCCACTACTGTAGTCTTCACACCAGTCGTTAAGAAACTACATTTTTCCAAACTGGTAAGACTCTCCAACAGCCCCAGAGCAGATTTCATTGCACACAGCTTATATTATTAATTCATCACCTAATAGCTGTACCTGTATGCAATCTTTGGCAGTGATAGCTCAATCATCCTAAATGCCAGAAAGATAATCAATGATTCAGTTTACAGCAGAGTTATCAAAACAAATTCTACAGTGCTTCACAAAAAAACAACCCAAAAAAAACAATGTTTTATTATTTAGATTGTGTCTCTTATTTTCCATCTCCACCTTATAATACTATATCACTTACGTCTACCGTGTATAGACCTGGACTGAGGTATACTTTGTGTGCTTATTCTGACCACATGTTCTGCTTTTTTAAATAACTGTTCATGTGGGGGGAAATAGTGTATCGTTTTGTGTGTGGGCATCATTTATACATCTGGGACCAGGACTTTCAGTATTTCCACCATTGTTGCTGCTGTTACAGGCCACCAAACTTTACCAAGATGCATTTAGACATTATATGTCTAATCTGAGAAATAATGGAGAGCCCAGATAAATCTTTTCAGAGGTTATTATCCTTTAACTGATCTGAAACACAGCTACTACGTTACAGTTACAGCACTGGGGATGTTGCAGCCATCAGCAGGGTGGTGACAAACGGTGAAATGCAGCAACAGTAAGTCAAACTAGTTCATGTTGTAATTGTGTAACATGCAGCTCAGCAGAGAGAACAACAGTTTGTCTTTGTCTGGGGCGACACTGCTCTCCCATGAATGCACAACAATCTGCCATTGAGGTGAAAGTCCTGTCTCACATAGACTTTTGCATGAATGCACAAAGAACACACATACTGTATATAGCCACACAGAGAGAGAAAGAGAGAGAGACTCAGGGTCATCTGCAGTGATCACACTAAGCTGCTACAAGTATAATTGTCGCAGTCTTGAGACCGTTCACAGCTGGGTGACACAAGTCAGCATGAGGTTACTGCTCGATCACGAGTTAATTAACTTAAAGATGAATTTCTCCTGTTATGTTAATCTGCTTTTTTGTACAAAACATTGTTACACATGTAAAACAAAATGTTCTAACTGGCTGTTAAACACCCTTCCTCTCTCTCGCCTGTTAAGAGTTTTCCAACTGATAAAAGCAATCTACAACAACACAGCGAGACAGAAGAAAGAAACAAACCAAAAATAGTTACCAACAGCAAAAAAGATCACCACCATCACGTAGTAGACAGGAAGACAAACTGAGTTCACGCTTTACCGTTTCAAATATAGATTGTACAAGTGAGGTAGTGTTTGTGACACATTGTGTGATACAAAGATTTACAGTGTGGAGTGTGTTAAACGGCCGACGGTGAACCCCCGAGGAATGAGAAGGATGAGCAGAGACCAAGAGTCTATGTACACTTTCAGTTTGTCTTGCGTAACGGCTGTTCAAAAGTTGAATGTTAGTAGATGATGCCAGTAAAAAATGTTAGCCGAGTCCATCCAGTTCTATGAGATGTCTTTGCAGGTGAAAGCAGCAAGTAAAAATGTCTGAGCTGTGTATGAATGTAAAGGTTAGATAGATCTCCTTGGAGGTGCACAGGTTGGCAATATCTGCTTGTCAACCACTGACTCTGCAAAAGCTGTGGACCATAAAAAAAAAATCACCATAAAAAAGTTTTTGCATTACAGTTCATAGTATAAACACTATGCTTGGAATTGCAGGGCTAAAACATTTGAGTCACTTTGAGTTGTTTTTCAAAAGCATTTCTTGCCAAGAAATAATTTATTTTTAGTGGGCAGTATTTATGTTCTCTCTCAAGTCCACTTTAGAGCTTGTATATCTCTTTGTCAATAAAGGTGTTACCTTTAAATAGTAACACATTTACTTCTGCTTGTATACTGTTTGTATACTGACAGTTTGCCTCTTAGCCTACAAAACTAAAATAAATCTGATAAAGCCACGGTTTCCATTATAACTCCCTTTAACATTGGTTAGATGTTATTATTATTCATTTCTGCAAAACATATATTTCACCTAAATTTAAGGTTGAAAACCTATTGCAAGAAAATATAGAAGGTGCTTTTATCTGCTGGCCTTTTTTGTTTGACTGCCCGCTGTTTCTCTTTTGGCCAGGCCTTGGAGGAGGCAGCCGCTAACGCAGCAGAAGAAGAGCAAAGGCGTCTTCAGACCCAAACTGAACTCCAGGACCGCTACAGGATGGACCTGGAGAGAGAGAAAATGGTATGTCACTCCTCATCCACTGAGTCGTTACATCAGAACAAGTGGTGGACCAAGAGCAACTTAAATACGACTTCCTCTTTTTGGTATACTGTATTGTGTTATTTTAGGGGGTGTGGGTTGAGTCGGTGTCATGTTAAATGAGACGTAAAAAAAGATTCTCAGCCGAACAACTTCAAATAGACTTAAAGCCAAGACACATTACTGCTCAGAGTGAACATCATTTAAAGCTGGAACTGAAACTTGACAGCAGACGAGTGTCTGATGTGCTCACTACACATTTCATGAATATAGCTGATGATGTGGTGATTCTATGTGCTTTGCTGTTTGAGTTGTAGACACATACTTGTTACTGTAATATTCATTTGGTAAACATAACCATCCAAAAAGCATGAACACTGTGCTTTAGTGCCTCTGCTGATAACTTCTGGACATGCTCAGTGCACAGCATGGATGTGGTTTGGTAGTAGATGATGTTTATCATCCATTAGTTGTTTTCATGTAGAGGCATTTTGGTCACTGTTGGTTGGCCAAACAAGCAAATATATTCAATTTATAGTGAAATCAAATAAAAAGCAAATCTTTACATTGTGTTTAGTATTTTTGCTTGATAAATAACTGAGACAATGAATTATTAGAATTATTGGTAAATTGTATGTTCATTGCCTAGTCGTCTCTTTGCTGATTCTTTAATGCCTAAAACACAATCACAGGAAAGTGTACTTTTGTCTACAATGTGTGTACTTCACACCTGCTATCACAGTGCTAAAGAGTTAGCATGGAGCACTGGAACACATAAACTACCTAGTATATAGGCTGGACTGAAATAGTCACTTTAAGGGTGTGCTGATGAACGAGGCAGCGTTTGAAAACCTTGTGTATTCCTATAGGACCACTTCATAAAATAAAACCATTCAACAGGAGTGTTGATATTAACTTCCAGATAAAGTAGTTCTCTGTATTTGCTGCTTCATCAGGTACGGCAGCAGGTGGAAGAGCAGGTGGCCCAGAAGTCCACTGAGCTGGAGCAGTACCTGCAGCGGGTTCGGGACCTGGAGGACATGTACGGTAAACTGGAGGATGCTCTGGAAGATGAGAGGCGTGCCAGACAGGATGAGGAGGCCGTCCGCAGGCTGCAAGCACGGTCAGTCAACACAAAGTGGAGGAGGGAAAAGCACAACACAAAAACACACATCAAAAATGCATCATTGTCTTTGGGAAGGAAAAAAATAGGGTTATGTTGGCGTCTTTATCTGTACTTATGTACTCAACATAACAAAGAGCTGCTGTAATGTGAGGAGTGGTTAAAGTACACACATTCTTTACTCAAGTACAAGTACAGATACTTGTGTAAAAGAAGACTGATTCAAGTCTTTTGCTCGAGTATAAAAGTAAAAAATACTCTCTTGGTTTCTCTATAGTACATTTTTACTGGTTGTTTCTGCACAAAGCTGAAACGTCAGATAGGGTTGAGTCTCCCTCTGTCTGTTTCTTCTTGGTATGTCGTCGTGCCTTTTTTTGTCATGTTATCTCTGTCATGCAAGATATCTGCATATCTGCATGATATGCACCAGATTTGATGTTGGGAAGGC